AGTCAGGGCACGTGCCCTCGCTGCCCCCGCGTGCCCAGTCACGGCACGTGTGCTCACCGTCCCCGCATGCCCCAGCAACGGCACGTGTGCTCACCATCCCCGCGTGCCCAGTCACGGCACGTGTGCTCACCATCCCTGCGTGCCCAGTCACGGCACGTGTGCTCAACGTCCCCACGTGCCCAGTCACAGCATCTGTGCTCACACCCTTAGTTACACTAAAAACTCTTACTGGCCAGCCCTGTAGCCTGGAAGTTCAGGGTGCTGGATCCTTCATGGATGGCCATAGTTTGATTTCTGACCTATGAGATCTGAAAAGCATGCTTGTCACATGTGTGTGCATGCCCCAAATCCCAGGGTAGAGAAGTGGGGGAGGAGAGACTGGCACACCGTTCCCCCTTGGGGGGCCCTTTCTCCTCCCGCCTCTGGCAAGTACAGGAAATTCCTGAGAAAAACAAGCTAAAGGACACCTTTTCAGAGGAGGAAGGCTGGCTTATATTTCTCCGAAAGGCGATGCACTTTGGGAACACGGAGGCCATCGACTCATATTCAGGGATGAGAAGAGCCATCGTTCTCACTGGCGTGGTCTTCTCAGTGGCCATGTCGTGAGTCACCAACTGCGGTGTTGGGAGACGGCGGATGGCAGGGACAGGGACACCTAGAACCCCAAGACGGCACCTCCGCCGTGACGCAGGGTGCTACTGTGGGGATGTCTGTGCATCCACCCCTCAGAACGGGGCTGGGAGTCGCCATGAGCCCTGTCTCCCTATCTCGTGGTCTTCCCTTTGCTATTCTTTTCCCTTCTAGGGGATAAGTGTAAAGATACAGTCTCAACTATGTTCGAGGTTTTAGGTTTACCTCCCTTACACATAGCATAGTGATAATCATTTATGGTAACCTTAAAAAATAATGTATTTTTATTATTGGGATGGTGGGTCATTTGTTTCCTAATTGTTCAATTTCCTTTAAAGTGAAAACAGTGTTCTCCCTAGGGTTCCTGGAAGTTATGTCTCTGCAGTCGCATACCTGCAGAAAGAGCATCGCCATCCTCGGGGTAAACAGGACGGAGGGCAAGAGTCCATGCAGCACCACCCTACTTCTCAGTTCCTGTCACCTATCAACGAGACGACCAAGGACTGTACAAGGTACTAAAACGGCCTCAATTATCAAAGAAGGGAAACGTGCAAACTCTTTGATTGCTATTAGTAAAACCTAAAGTTTTGGGACCAGCAGATGGTGCGATCGTTATGTCGCCAGACTTCCCCATGGCTGACCACAGTTCAAGTCCAGGTCCCAGAGGCTTGAAACTCATGCCGGGCGTGTGTGTGTGTGTGTGTGTGTGTGTGTGTGTGTGCCTAAATTCCTGGGAGGAGAATGGAGGATAAGAGATTGCAGCATGGCCATTACCCCTGGGGGGTGATTTCTTGCTTTCTGTCTCTCTCTTTTTATCTCTGTTTCTCTGGTGAGTTCACATACCCTTCAACAAAAATCTCTCAAAAACAAAAAGTTTTAGATAACTCGAAGAGTAGGAAGCAGCAGATCTCACATATCCCCAGGGCTCCCACTAAGGGGGTACCCTTGAATGAGGCTCTCTTTGTGTCTTTGCAACTAAGTCTCCTGAATAAGACTAAAACTTTGACTGAAATTTTTAGAGCAAATGGCGTTAACAGTGAGGTTCCAGCACATAAATGCAACATCCAAAACATGGAATAGAAACACACGAGAGAGGAGAGTCGTTAAGAATCAGCGTGATATAGAATCCAGGAAGTTAGCTCTTTGAAGGAAAGCGCGACTCCTTTAATTCCTCAAAAACTTAAGAGAAAAACCACCCCCTACCTTTCCAGGTTATGAAGGTGGACCCTGGTGACACACAGATGACCGTATCCCGCCCGATGTCGTCCCACGACTGGACCAGCTCTCCGTCTGGGGTGTGCAGGGCTCTGGCGGGCTGGGCCATCTGGAGACGGTGGGTGCAGTCCTCGAGCAGCTGGGACACAGGGACAGCCGTATTTGAACACGGAATGATATGGTGAAATAGGAAAAAATCGACTCTTGTCAGAGAACTAGGCTCCTGACTTGACTAGTCGCTCACTTGCAACGGCTGGAAGTAAGTATGGAAGGGATGAGAATCAGGGCCCACTAATGTTCTCGAACGTGCTTAAACCATGAGGCACAATGTCCACTAGTGTTCTCGAACATTTTTTAAAGAATGTGATGTTAATTAGAGGGGGCAATGTCACAGTGGTTAGGTAAATAGAGCAACTCACCAACTGTACCATGTGGTCTCCTCTTCTGTTAACAGTGGCAAAGGTGTTTCTAACTGTGTAGCATCCACAGAAATACATTCAGTGAAGTTATAATAACTGTAGTTATCGTGGGTGATAGGATTTTCATTCTTTTCTTGGTGCTTTTATTTTTTCTCATTTTAATACAATGACTATACATTGCTTCATAATTAGAAAACAAAATAAATGTCATTTGAATCATCAGAAAATGTATGGGGATGATTTTAGAAGTGAGGTTGAGTAGATTCATATGGTCTTGTTTTGCTCGTGTGTGCATGTGATCTTTCTAAATACTCCATAACAGAGGTCTCTATCATGTTCTGCTCTGGCTACCAAATCAAGTACACAGACGGGGCGGCATAAGTAATAGGAAATTATTTCCCACTCTGTTAAATGCTGAGAAGTCTAAGATTTAAGTGCCAGATAATCATTCCTGGTGAGGGCTCTCTTCCTAGCCTGCAGACGTTCACTTCTTGCTGCATCCTCAGATGGCAGCAGCAGGAAGACGTCTTCGCCCCCTGCACTTCCTGGAAGGCCACCAATCCTGTCAGATTAAGGCCCACCTTTAAAGCCTCGTTTGACTTTCACAGTCTTCTAAAAGCCCTGTCTCCCAGGGTGACACCAGGGTGCAGGGCTGTGAACTGTGACTGGGAAGGACACAGAGCAGGCCACAGCAGGCACTGGTTTGTTTGTGTGTTTGTTTTCACTTCAAGGCAAGCAAAGGGTGTGACAGCTGAATTTCTATCTGGGTAGGGAGCAGTGGGGACTTGTCCTAGAAGTATATACAAAGAGGTAGCTGAGAAAAAACTTGTGTAGCTTGGAAAGACGCCACAAACAGGTAATTCTAATGTATATATTTTTTACTTTAGCATTAAAGTGCCAATATTCTATACAGATGTTTTCATTTATAACCAGAAAAAGTATTATAATTTATTAAAAAGATATGCAGGAAAAAAAATCTATGATTGCTTCATCTGGCATTTGGTAAGACCTACTTACATGAAACAGAGTAATGAGTTTACAAAACTCTTTTATTTTACTTATTAATTTTAAATTTTGCCAGAGGGCATGTGTACTTGCCAGAGATAAACAGAGACAGAGAGATGGAGAGGAGGATAGCACTCCCTGTGGGGCATGGTCAGGCCACAATCCCTTCCCCATTTCTCCATCCTTTCCGGGTTTGGGGCCTGCACACACAGGTGCCTGGCATGTTTTCAAGCTGCCAGGTCCAGAACCGAACTGTGCAACTGGCCATGTGCAATCTGGCTCCCATATCTGTGAGGCCACAGGGACAGCCCTACAAAAATCTTTTTAAAATAAATGAGAAAATAAGGCATTTTCGCTGCAATTAGGTTCTACAAAATCTAGCCTGTTTATGATGTTTAAAATGATTCTTAATTCTGTTTTCCAAATGTGTCTGTTTACTCAAGTATCTTCTTTCAAGTGGGTAGTATAAACTGTCATTCTGCAATAACAGCAGTTTATGATAAAACAACAGTGTTCCGCTAACACTCCTCGCCCACAGCCAAGTGCACAGGCCTGGTGGCTGCATGGTGGCCAGCTGCCTGTGTGCGGAGGTGCTTTCCTGTCCAGACACACTGCTCATTCTTTCCCCTTCCGCTCCTGCACTCAGAACTCTCCCCAGGCTGGGGAAACACCAACTTGGAGATTCTGAAGAATCAGAGACACTGTGGGAATGGGGGAAGATAAACACTTCAGGAGCACAGAAAGAGGGGTTCACACGACCATAAATCAGAGAGGAAGCTGGCCTTGGAGAGAGAGTCACCAACCCTGGCGGGGGCCGTGCCTGTGACCGACGAGCTGACAGCACAGAGCTGACAGCGCAGAACTGCTCCAGCACGCTCAGCGAGGCGGTGGAAGAACGTGGCTGAATCACCCAGAAGAGCCCCAGCAGCAAAAGCAGCTGAGAGAGAGTCTGCATTGGAGGGGTTCAAGTACCACCACAGGGTTCAGCACGGACGGTGGAGTGTGGCCTTCTGAAACGTGTTCCCTTCCTCAGCCACTGAGACGTGGAGCGCCTTGGGAATCAGACCACTGGATTCCCCGACTCCCACGCCCTCCCCTTCCTCCATCCTGGGGGCGTGGGGCTTCCCAGCCCGATAGCCCTTAGCTGATCACAAAGAACCTCATGGAGGCCCTGACAGACGAAGAAGAAACAGCAGGGGCCCAGCCTTGGTTGTGCGGGTGGGGGGCGTGCTAACCCGTAGTACTAGAATCCACATAGCCGACTGCGAGTTCGGATCCCGAGTAGACCAGAAACACACCAGATACTCACACACCCAAGATCCTAACCAGCTGGAGGACTGGGGAAAGTGGCCTGCGGGTGGCGAGACCCCACTGAAGGTCTCCCTCGTGCATAACTCTATCTCATCAAAGAACTTTTAAGACAAATAAATGAATGGAAAAGCAGAGAGATCAGAAAGAATGAGGGGGCTAATCTGTGATGTGGAGTTTAAGGTGGCTGGATCCCAAATGGCTGACTATGCATTAAGCCCTGGACCTAGTGGCCTGGAAAACACCAGGAGTGGGTGAATGCGTGCTTGAAATCCCGAGAACAGAGGAGGGTTCCACTGTGGCCATCTCCCCTGAGAAGGGGCCAGGGGGGATCCCTCACTCTCTCTCTCTCTCCCCCTCTTTTTCTCTGTCTCTCTGCAATGTGCACACACACCCTATAGCAAATTTAAAATTATAATGAGGTTTTTATTTAATAAAAAAAAAGAACATACAGAAAATTTTCTAGACTTTCTCGAAGCATCTTTCTATGCGTCAAGGTGGTGTTAATTGCCCCAAAACATTACTTTTACCACACTATTTTTGTATTCAGAGGTGAACAGTGGTTGGCGCTTCAGTCTGGGATAGTGTTATGGAGAAAACTGTGTCCTTTCACAATTCATGCCGAAGCTCTAACCGCCATTGCACCTGTATTGGAAGACCGGGCTTTAAGGAGGTGGCTAGGGCTAACCAAGTTCCTAAGGGACATCTCGATCCAGGAGGGCCGGCTCCAGCTACAGTCCCACACCCTGTAGCTTGGGAATCATGCCAGGCCCGTGTGCACACATGCTCAAATCCTGAGAGGAGGATGGAGGGGGAGGGATTGCAGCGTAGCCATCCCCCCAACCCGGGGCGGGGGTGCCTCTTTTTCTCTGTCTCTCTGCAATGTGCACACACACCCTATAGCAAATTTAAAATTATAATGAGGTTTTTATTTAATAAAAAAAAAGAACATACAGAAAATTTTCTAGACTTTCTCGAAGCATCTTTCTATGCGTCAAGGTGGTGTTAATTGCCCCAAAACATTACTTTTACCACACTATTTTTGTATTCAGAGGTGAACAGTGGTTGGCGCTTCAGTCTGGGATAGTGTTATGGAGAAAACTGTGTCCTTTCACAATTCATGCCGAAGCTCTAACCGCCATTGCACCTGTATTGGAAGACCGGGCTTTAAGGAGGTGGCTAGGGCTAACCAAGTTCCTAAGGGACATCTCGATCCAGGAGGGCCGGCTCCAGCTACAGTCCCACACCCTGTAGCTTGGGAATCATGCCAGGCCCGTGTGCACACATGCTCAAATCCTGAGAGGAGGATGGAGGGGGAGGGATTGCAGCGTAGCCATCCCCCCAACCCGGGGCGGGGGTGATTTCTCACTTTCTCTCTCTCTGGTGAGCACTCCCTGACAAAAACTTAAAAAAAAAAGGAAGAAGAGAAGACACAAGAGCCCCTCCTCTCCCCGAATGCTCGTGAGGACACAGGGGAGGATGGCCTCAGCACTCAGGAAGGGAGGCCCGCTGGCCCTTCACCTCGGACACCCCGCCTCTAGACCTGTGAGAAAGTAAGTCCTGCGTTCCAGCCACCCAGCGGGCGGTGGTCCGCTCCGGCAGCCCAGGCAGCCAGGGCCCGCGTGCTGGCGAACGAACGGTCTCTCCCTTCTGAGCCCCACGCCCTTTAAGAATCCCTAGCCTGTCCATGCACGTGCTGCTGCGTCCTTGTGAACGCTCCTTCTGCCCAGGACGCTGACGCTTTTCCATTTCTCAGGGCCTCCTTGAGGTCCTGATGGTTCTTCCGTGGAGCCCAGTCCCTCTCCCAGGAGGGCACAGTGACGACCTCTCTGAAACCACACGGACCGTCCGTCCGGCTTGCACTACTGCCTTGGCCTCCATCACATTGTGCTGGGGCTTCTCAGAGCGGTATGTCGGCTTCCTTCTCACGGAAGCTTTTCTCACAAGGACCATCTACTTTCATTATTCCTAAGTGGGCTGGCCCCACAGCACGCCGGAGTTCATTGGTTAAGGTAGCCAGATCCTGTGTGGCTGACGGTGGTTTGAATTCCAGCCCAGTGGCTTGAAAACATGGCAGGTGCTCGTGGGTGCGTGCCCAGGATGCTGGCGGGAAGGAGGGGCGGAGGGAAAAGGGTTGCCAGTGACCGTGCCCCATTGAGCGGTGCTTTCTCTCTCCCCCCAACCCTGGCAATTGCAAGCATCCCCTGCAACTATACACATATTGCACAGGAAAACACACAAGAAAAAGAAAGCATCCAAAAATAAATACCTGCCAATAACGTTCTTCCAGTCTTCCGTTCTACATGAATGTGTGTGTGCGTGTGTGTGTTTGCTGAATCTGTGATTTATATTACGCCACCTTCACTTAATGTGTCTTGAACATCTTTGTCGTTTTTTCCTAAAAGTT